GCAGAGGAGCAGAAGGAAGGCTGGGGTGGTCACTGTAAGCCTACCATTTCCTAGCCTGACTTGGTGACCTAAATAAAACTTTCAGTATTAGGTTTTTCTAAGATGTAATTTATACTATGGTTGTCAGGAGTTGAGAAAGCAGTTGCCATGGAGCTTTAATCTTTTTTTAGGTTTTGGTCAAAGGAAGCTGGAAATCTGCATGCTGGGAAGAATCCTGGCTCAACTGAATTTTATTTAAATTGCAACAGGATTTCATCCTAATTTCTTCACTGCAAGTTATTCTAAAATATTCTAGAATTTTTTAGTTTGTTCTGCTTCTCGGTGGGAGGTAGGAGTTTCCCCTTAGGCTTTTAAATCATGCTAAATTCAACCACAGCTTTATCCCCCCTTCCTTTTCTTTCCCCCCAGCTATAAGCTACAACTTCCTACTAGTCTTAAAGAGCAAATCACTGAATTCAAATTCATTTAACAGTTTTACCATTTTCAGTGGAAGTACTCTTAAGTATGCTACAACAAAACTTTGGAGAGAATTTTATTACCTATGTGCCCACTACACACTAATCCCTAATCTGTAAGATTGGCCTGCTGAAAGGAGAATTACTTACAGCTCAAAACCAACTTCATTTCATTAATTTTTTGAGACATTTTTAACAAAAAAAATGGCTTTCTGGCCAGCTTTAGGGAATTAGGGAGTTCTCTAATCATCTAGCAGCTTCAAGACTGCAGGCTAATCAGAATATTGGTACAAAAAAAAAGATTATTTGAAACTACTTTGAACATGGAATTTGTTATAAAACAGACATTATATAATAAAATATTCCTTCCAGGTGAGGTAAATCTGTGGGATTTGAACAGTTGCACAATAACATCTGGTTTTATAACCAACAGCAAACTCTCCTCCCTAGCAGTAGTTCTAGACAGAAAAACAATTCTTGGAGCTTTAAGTGACAGCCCTTCTCACCTTGCAAGGAGCAGATGCAAAAGCAACTGTGAATTCCACTGAGATACACTAATCTAGAGAAATATCCAGCAGCAGTGAGGCAGAACCTATGGAAAACTAGAACATGTAATGATCCAAGTCAGATCTCTTAAAGATGGCTATTCAAAGGGATTTAAACATTGACTTATGCGTAAGAAAAGCCTAACAAGACTCGGAAAGCTCGTAGTGCTCAAGAAAACTGCTTAAACTAACATTATGCGAGGGGTCTTGCACATCTTCAGAATCGGCCACGTTACTCAGAGTTGCACAGAGGTGAGCATCTCCGATCCAGGGCGTCGCAATTGCGAGTTCAGCTCCTACAGGAAACGCTGCCGTCCCCGTCTGCTAGTCCTGACAGAGGGAGATGTTCTGCTGCTGAGCTATGCTATAGGCAAACTGCTGCCCCCACCTCTTCTCCCCCCATGACACATTTTTTGCCATACACCACTGAGGAGACAGTTGACTTGCACATCCGTCACTTGAACTTAAAGCAGGAGCTACCGAGGCAGCATTTCCTTTGGTATATACCATAGAGAAATTACAGACATGTTGCCTGAAATAAGTGTCTTCACCACTTTCCTAAATTGCTCTGTTGGATTCAGGCTACAGAGACAGGATTAAATAACAACAAAACCAAAACAAAAACACAGTTTTGGATTGTAGCACTGAAAGCAAGCGGGACTTTTGTGACACCTGTGCTGTCCTCTATAACCCGAGGTGCCCTCGTCAAAGGCATGCAGAGCTGCTGGAGAGGACGACCTCCGAATGCAAGAAGCAGGTATGCAGAGCAGAGGGCTGCTAGTGCTTCTCTGGCACTCACTGCAGTTCTGGCCCAGTACCCTGGTGTGTTTCAAGGGAGACCCAACATGGTGCAATTCCACTCAGCTGTGTCTGAAGGACAAAACCCAAATTAAGGCTTTCAGAACCACATCTGGTGCAGTCAGGAGCGGTTTAAGTTACAGAAGTACCAAACTTTGCCAATTTTAAAGTCTGAATTCAGACAAACAGTACTAGTTGCCTTCAAGCTGAAGTTAGTTGCTTTTAAATGAAAAGAAAGTCTTCAGATTTAGAAAACGCCACCTTTACAAAGGCCAAGGCAAATAATCTTTAGATAAAATTCAGGAAAGAGGGGGGCATTTCACTTCCCACTGTACGAATTTCAAGTCTTTTGTCAGTTATATCACAGTTGTATCACTTCAGAATATACAGACTAATTAATGCTTGGAAGGGTAATGTGGTTAAAAGCAGTTTAAATATGTAAGTATTATCATCATTCTTTTCAGCAAACGGGAATCATTGCACAACAGCTTTCAGAGGTTACATTTAAGGTAATGGTGCCTACCATGCCTGTTAACTAACCTTGCTCAAATTCAGACAGCTTACAGACTAGACAGAGCAGCTAGAAAAATCTTCTGTTAATATTGCATACTGTTCAAGGCTTGTCAAATTTGAGTTCAGAAAAATAAACTGCTGGAGATATCAAGATGGCTTCAAAATATTGGCAGCAAATGTTTAAACTGCTCATTTTGCATCCCAAGCTTCCAATGTTAAACTTTTTTAAAAAGTTGTTTTGCTTTAAAAATCTAATTGCATTATTATTTTTGTCAAGATTAATAAAAATGGTCCAGATGATGACAATCAAGAAACATCGTTGACCTGAAGCCTTTTCTTTTCTCTTGAATAGTTTGTGAAGGCCTTTCGCTGCTGACAAACTTGCATCTTTTCAAAACAGAAAAGCAAAAAGGCCAGAACTTTAAAAGTGAACCACATTTTCCCAAGCTTAAGGAAAAAGAAAGAAATTAAGCTTGATCTGTTGACCATGAATTAGGATGAAATTTTCATGAAGAGAAAGCAGTTTATTGCCTAGGTGTTCTATTGTTATCTTAATCTTTGTCAACTTTAAAAACAATTTCATGCCCAATTTTTTTTTCTCTCTTCAAGAGACCAACCATACTTCATGGTAGTCGATACATATCTTCAACATCAACTGACTTGGGAATCTTCACATTTCGTTTTCCTTTGTTTTTGAGGCTTATTTCATTAAAAAAAAAGAATGGAACATCAAGAAGCAACATTAAGAAGTTCACTGCTTACCATGCTGATTTTGTATTAACATCCTACGCACGTCTTCAATGCATTACCATTCATCTTGTATGAAAATAGATGCAAAACTGTAAAATCTGGTGCTAAATACCAGATAGCATCACATCTTTTTCTCATACAAGTTTTAGCAACATCCTAGAATATTGAAAAGGGACAATTTCGGATGCACTCACGTGTATTTGAGGTCAACTGCTAATCTGCTCATGAATTAGTGCTGAATTATTCCTGTATCTGAGGGAGTTCATGTATTAGGCAAATACTGTTCCACCAGCAGTATCTTCATTGGCAGCCTTAGGAATTTATATTCACCCTTAGAAGGCTGCTTGAAACAGAGGATCTCTGCATGAGAGCTTCATCTGCACCACTTTCAGAATCTTATCATTTCCTTTCTGAAACGCTGCAACATACCAAATACACTTTTCTTATTCCAGCAGTTAATCCAGATGAGCAATTGTGTGATTCCCAGCTCCCTTCATCTGCTTTGAAAAAGGTATTCTTGATTTAACCAATAGAAATCCATGCATACTTTCAAAAGATGAATTTGTAATGTTAATAGATGCAATTTGATTTGTACTTTGCTACTATTTCAGTGCTCAAGCGGGTCTTTCTAATACTAGGAAGTATTTCCACTTTAAGTACACTTTATACTTACAGTCCCCAATCCAAGTATTCCAGTATATCTTCCCAAGAATGAAATCTAAGAATCATTAAAGCATAGCAAGTTGGAGGAGTAAAATATGCAAAAAAGGATTTAAGACACTTTTCTCCCGCAACCAGCCTTATCCTTCTCCGTAGGAAGTCAGTAACAATGATCCAGCCCCTTCAAGAAACCCGTCTTTGCAAACTCCAGGAAGTAAGATATAGTCTTGGAATAAAGGCTCCTTTCCTGCCCTGCTGATGCTCAGAGCCCTTACCATGGGTTTCTGCAGCAGCTCTTTGCTTACTGTGGTGCAGATCTCCGCAGCGCGGCTGTTCCGCTTCACAGAAATCAGATTTTCAAGCAGAGACTTGAACCCCAGCTTCACATTCCCCTGCCATATGTTAACTACAGCCTCACTTGCAAATGCTAGATCCTGTTAAGGAATCAGATCCCAATTGCCAAAATAGGCTTACTATTTTATGTAGCTTATACATACGCCGCCTCACTCCATCCGGCCGCGGCGCGCGGAGGCTCTCCCGTCCGTGCCGCGGCCACCAGGCCCGTCGCGACCCTCATCCTGCCCGCGGCGCCTGCTCCCCAGGGCAGCAGGGTCCCCCCTCCGGCGATCCTCCTACCACCTGCACCACCTACACAGGCCGTGACAAAACAGAAAGGGATCCAGGAAGTCGTTGCAGCATTACAGAAAGATCCTAATCAGTAAGGCCCACACCAGGACACTCAGGTTTATAAAATACCTTGTACACCTAAATTATTTTCATATCCATAAACTGACTCCCAAATATAAAGTCACCAAGACAAGATTTTAATATTGACATAAAAAGCATAAGTTAGTGGTATTTTCTTCCTTGAAATGACGTACTGGTCATATGAAAGTCACTGAAGAGGTCTGCTTTAAGCTCGGAAGACTTTACATACAGTTATGGCCGAATTAAAAAAAAAACCTAATTCCAAATATGTGATGTTAATGCAAAAGCCCCAAACTTTTAAGACCTGGGATACCAAATCCAGTTGTTAAGATTCTAATAGTTACATGAGGCGCCTCAGAGGAACTCAATACATTTCCCACAACATGAAAAGTTCTTCAGCATCTTTCCCATCACCATTATTTCAACATTCACAAGGCTTTTTAAAATACTAACGGATTAAAATGAAACCAAGAGCCATATGCTTGTAATGTCTTCTGTGAAGGTCTGAAGCCACCCTGTCTCAACTATTTGGTTATTCAGTGCAGAAACTTAAAGATCACAGAAGGTATGACAGCTTTTAATACTCCATTAATATTATAGATTAAAAATTATTGCATAGTCTTATGCATTTCCTAAAACAGCGTTCTCTGGAAATTAAACATTTCAATATAAAAGGAGCAACTCTTTAAAACATGAATTGCATTCACTACCTCGATCTTCTATCTTTTTTTGATTTGTCAGTACATTTGTCCATAGTTTTCTCATTATCTCCTCTGCACTTGGGGCAGTACCATTTCCCCTTTGGTTTGTAGGTGAGTCCAACACACGAGAAGTGAAACCACTCAATAGGACACTGTTCATTATCACATCCTATCATTTCGCCATAAGACACTTGGTTACATAAGCAGTAAGTTGGTTCATTGGGATCAATTGCAAATTCTACGGGTGACATTTCCCTCTCTTGCTTGGCTTTGGAGCGTTTTTTCTTCTTGGAAGATTTGGATCTTTTTTCCTTGGGTGGCTCGTCGCAGTCATCGATGCCATTTGCTATATGGCACAGATCGCGGCTCTCACTGGTGCGCTGCCGACGGGGCCGACGCGAGGATCGCTCCGGTTGGCAGGAATCCATCTTTGCCTTTTCTAGGGGCTTTTCGTTCTCGGACACATCTTGAAAACACTGCGAGTGTGTTTCCATTTGCCGTGCTCTATTCTCTACTAGTTCTAGCATCTGAGTAACTATTTGAATTTTTTCGTCTCCGAGTTCTTGGCTGTTGATTAATGCACGCTGAAGATGCTGCTGCAAGCGCTTCTTCTGGACAGGATCATTTTCTGACTTGTATTTTTCATAGACATCATCTATTTCTTTTAGCGCTTCTACAAAAAAGGAAGATAATAGGAATAATTACACAAGACAGAACATGCTCAAGAAAATACAGTAATGGATTTCTAACTCACAAGAAACAGTACCAATTTTTTCTTTAGTATACCCTAGTGGGCTAGATCTGATATTTAATGCAAGTTGCATATTATCATCAAATCAATATATTAAGTTCACAATCTGTTGCAAGAAAATTCTCTGAAGCTCTGAGAGACACTTCCAATGAGTCTGTGAGACCCAGGAAAAGGATAACGCTGAAATGGGGATCATAATTGTTGAAATACCATAGTGGGGGTATTCCACACCCTGCCTCCATTTGACAAAGTAGGAATTTAGGTCAGATTCTTTACCTCTCTACTGAGGTAGAGCTTTTGAGAATAGGTCATCTTACAGATAGCACACCACAGGACCTCTCCTTCCTCCCTCCCCAACTCCTTTTTAAGCAACTGGTAATGAGTGGCTCCATTTGACTTATTTTTTTTCCCCTCCTTGCAAATCATGCAAGATAACTAGTTAAGTGCAGTGCATCTTTAATAAATTCTTAGAAGCATGCTTATGAACCCAAATATGACATTAAAGTCATAAAGCAGTCTCATTTTGTACCCTAACATTTATGTTTTGCTGGATTTAAAAACTATATTTCCCAGAAGTTACATTAGAGCTATACATAAAATTCCTAACGTGAAAAGAGCTAAATTACCTAAGTGCCAACAGTGAAGTCTAATGTACTTTGGTAGATGCAGTATTTCTTTCTTCACCAACAATTTAAGGATTTTACTTGAACATATGTGGAAATTTATGAACAATACCAAACTAATATATTTGCTTCTGAAGCCAGAAGATAAGCTATAAAATCTTCCTCTTCCTACAGTGCACCTTTTTACAAACTAACTTCTATTTTTAAAGGATACTGTCTGCTTTGTACAATTGTGAAATGACTGAAACTTGCACTAAGTGGAAACCATAGGTATTATCTCAACGCTGCCTTTTTTTCTCTCTTTTTTTCCTGCTGGCATCTTAAAACAATAGCATTAAGTCTGAACAGCCACTTTTTACTGTAAGTTCTGAAACCTGTACAGCAAAAGCAGCCAACAGCATTTTGTTCTCTTGCAGATGATAAAAATCCCACTGTGACCGTCCAGTAACTCAGCCTATTTCTTCTCCACAGTGGCACTGCAGGCGTCACTAGGACGACGAGCGCCGCTTCCCTGTGCCTTCAGCGGCACCTCCTGCCTGTTGCCCCGGCAGGGCAGGAAATCTCGCTCTAGTCCTCCGGAGAGGTGCTGAGTAAGGTATTTTGTAGGCTGCTGAACTAGAAAGGCATAACCAGAGTACAAACTGCTGCAGCCACGTTAGCTCCCACCCAGGCTTCATCCACAAGTGTAGGTGCAGTTACACAGGTTTCCTACACAAGGAAAGTCCTGCCACAAAGCACCCCAAACTGCTATTATGGAGAACAAAACTGACCTTATGCTACCGAGGTGCTTTTTTTTCCCCCTCCTTTTTTTTTTTTTTAATTCATTATTCCCTGCATGTATCCCTTGATATTTACCAGGCGACATGCCAAACGTTTTAAATGGTTCACAGCCGAGAAAACCTCCCTTCCCATTCTCCAAATGGTAGCTGAATTTCTCCTGAGCGCAGAAAAGACAGAACTTTTGGATGGACAGAAATGCAGACTTGCCAAAGTAACTCCTTGATAGTCCCTAGGATGAGGGAGAACATCCACACACCCAACTGAGTAGCTCTGAGACCCCTCTTAAGAGGGAAGCACGGCCCCAGTGTTTACTACAGGTAATCTCGGTAAGTTGTGGTGAAGCTTTCAAAGGCTAAAAGGATTTCATTTTGCCAAGTCCAGGAATGAGTTTGGCCCTCCCACATGAACTAGCACTACTTTGTAAATGAGACAAAGTTATGTTAGCAGCATCTTTGGAAGATATTCACACTAAGCCTAAAGTATTTTTGTCACATTCTTAGGCCTTTTTTTTTTTTTCTTTTTAGACAGAGTTAGGTGAAACTAAACTGGGTTTGTAGGTAAAACTCTACAAGCCTCTGCTTTGGCCCAGTTTCACGGCTCCAAGAACTTATAGAGGGGAGGTAACACGCTGCGTGTCGTGACTCCCAGCCCTTACACCACGGGGACGCATCCCCGGCCGCTCGTGCGACGCTCCCC